GTGTGTGTGCATATATATATGTATGTGTGTGTGTGTGTGTGTGTGCATATATATATGTGTGTGTGTGTGTGTATGTGCGCGCGCGCGCGCGCGTGTGTGTGTGTGCGCGCGCGCGTGTGTGTGTATGCGTGCGCGCGCTTGCGCGTGCGTTCATTGAATATGAAAAAACATGGGGTCGAAACTAACACAGACATATTAATAGTGTACATTTTCACTTTTATCCAAACACGTCCACCCTGTCCTAACCCTCGTCTCTATAAGATAGTCACCCCTACAAACGCCCACTTTCGATTTCGTAACGACACTTTGTAAGACGGTCTCCTGTCTAAGATGGATTCTTTTCTCCTGGGCAGTGTCTTACGGGTGGCCATCTTTTACTGTTTCGTTGAACTGGTGTGGTCTGCTTCTTCTTTCCTATCAAACATCTATCGTCCTTATCTCCCCTACTTCTTTTTTTATGTTTGTTTACTCTCTTGTAACACCTCTAATCTTCTGGCGCTCATATGACCTTATGCAGTTGCGAGCGCCGTAAAACCCTCTACTAAAAATATTTAAAAACCTGTCGAAGACGGCTGCTTTGCTCCTTGGCAGTGCGTTACGGGTGGCCACCTTTTACTGTTTATTTGACTGAATTTTCTTGTCCCAAATTGGCACATACTTGGTTTTTTCCTTGATCAGTCAGCACGGCGCGTTATGTGTGTCAACATTGCCAAATGTTTTTTGTGTGTGTCGGAGCTTCGTGTAATTGTGTGTGTGTGTGTGTGTGTGTGTGTGTGTGTGTGTGTGTGTGTGTGTGTGTGTGTGTGTGTGTGTGTGTGTGTGTGTGTGTGTATGGGTACGTGTGTGGAAGGGTGGATGGGGGTTATTGTTTGTGTGTCAAACTTATCGCTCATTAGAATTACATTTTGGCCGTTTTGAATTACTGTATGGCCTACTAAGATCGTGAAGTCAGAAACCATACGCTCTATCTGCTCTACCCAAATCGTAAGATTGTTCGGAGTCGTTGTCAAGATATTTAAAGAATTGTATTCGAAAAAGCTTGACCATTGTTAAACTCAAAAATTTTTACTTCGAATTTCTCAAAACTAGGTACTGAGCAAACAGCTTTGTAATTCTAGGGTAGTGTAATGTTTAAATACGTTTTAAAAAAATAAACGGAGGAAGTTTCCAGTTTCTATGTTCATCAAATTATAATTCTTTCATAGTCACCCCCTCCCCTTCCTTTCCCTAAACGCCTGGAAATATTTAGATTTAAAACTACTCTTTCAAATTCTCGAAAACTGAAGAACCTGTTTATCTTAGAATAATCTGCGTGTAACTTTTGCTATACCGGGAAGGGAGACTGGGGGGGGGGGGTGGTATTCCCCTTCATTCTCCAGGGTACCATCTAACCATTTATCCATTTTATAAAACTTTCATTATACAAAGCTTGTTTCCCCTAAACGTTCACGATACCAAGCGCAACAATAATTCTGCCTTTCGTCGTCCTCTTTTTCCGCAGGATATGGCCTGTGTATTTTCTCTCTTTGATATGTCAAGAACGAAACCTTGACACTAAACAGTTGGGTTTTTTTAAAGGGGGGTGGGTGGGTATTTCCCCCAAATGTTATAGGTGGCAAAAGTATGCGTTGGCCATAAAAAAAAGGTGGACATACACTGTATTGTAAATAATGTTATCAGTTTGAAAAAGGAGTAGCGGAAAATTTCGGAAGATTTCAAAGTCCATAGGAAGTCAAAACAAAAACATAAATCAAACAAACGGACATCTAGATAAGTCTTTGACTCCCGGGCTGGGAACAGACAGGCGGGCAATGGTTTCCGGCTACATATTATTACATGTCTGCATCTCTGTACTTTCTCTGCAACTCGCTTTTCCTCTTACTAGCCCGGAAGTTTTACTGACCTTATTAGAAACCTAATAGATTATACTTTTTTGCGGGTGGGGGCGTGGAGGGGGGAGTTTAAAAATGTCAGCAACTCCCATTTTAGAACACATGCACTCTTTCTGGTTTATCATTTCACGCCTTCCAGATGACAAAATAAAGGGGTTTTTTTTTACCCCGGGCCAAGCAGCGAAAGGGTTAATACCTAAAGATCGAGACTTGAATCAAGGACAAAGAATACCCCCACCCACTTTCCGAAACAACTGAACTAGACAGGACTAGCGTTGCGGAAAATACCATTTGTCTGTTTGTCCTTATCTTTTTCAGCTGTCTGCCTGTGTGTCTCCACAACCCCTCCTTTTCTTTTCTCCCTCTTTCAATCCTTTTCTTTTCAATATTACCATGTTATTCTGTTGTACTCTCTCTCTCTCTCTCTCTCTCTCTCTCT